TAGAATACCGTGTGAGTGCATTAAAATAAATGAGAGAATTTGTAAAATGTAAACTTTACAATTGCCTTTGTGAGAACAGTCAGCGCGGTTCAGCCAAAACTAAAAAAATACGTTAAAAGACAACTAAAAGAGACTGTGACTATTTTATTAAACTGTAAAAGGCGTGTGCTAAACTTTTGGTTAAGCAAAAGTAGTTCAATAAATAATTTAATTTAATTAATCTTCAATTTTTTTAAGGGGTAGCAAAACCTAATAAACAGAAAAAATTAAAATATACCGCAAATAAACAACTTTAGACAATAGTCGTGTTTTATTTACCTGTGGGCTCAACTAATCTTGAGCTATTCTGAATGCTGATTGGTAAAAAGTGCAATTAACTGGGAATATTTTATTTATTTATTTTATTCTTCTTTCGATTTAATATTTCGGATATTTTAAGAATTCAAGTAAGAATAAATATTTTTTAATGAAATCTCTTGTATTATTTGTTGAAATTACTCATAATATTATTTTTGATATAACCCACAATTAAAAACATCTTATAATTTGAACATTTACAGACTTGTATTTTAAAAAAATTCGTCACAACTTTGTTCCCTTCTTGCTACCGTGACTGCCTAGTAAAAACATTTTCAAAAAAAAACCGCTACCCCCCTGAAGGTTACGGAAGCCGTTTCGAGCAGTACGCATTGCAGCTGCCAAGAACGCACATTCCCTGTTCATGCAAAGTACGTTCTGACTTGTGACTCACAATCGTAATCTATAAGTGCATCGTTATATTGATTTTCGCGTGATGGGTGAGTACGAAAACAATCGATAATTTGTGTAGTATCCACCCCACACGCACCAGTCTACCCGCAGCTCCGGTCATAGAACTCAAACTGCAATGTCTGTTAATAAACCCCATCTGAACGGCTCTATTGAAATCACACATGAGAGTAGCGACTTTCCCATATGGCACATATGGCACTCGCCCACATAGGCAGGAAAAACACTGTAACGAGACGATGCACCGTGCGGATACAAGGTGCTTCAAAAAATACCCTTTCCCGCCGTTATACGGTGCCTGTGTTAACTCGAACATGTACCTTTGGTATCTAGCTTGCTACAGAAATAACCCTTATTATATAAATATATAAATTAGTCCTTAATAATTATTAGAAAAAAAACTAATAATATATCCAAAATATACAGGGTGTTTACACAAATTTATATAATTATTTTTTTGGGACCGTTATAAAAGCTGAAAAATGATTTTTCGCTACAACTTTTTTGTTTTTCATTAAATGTGGATAATTTTTTGGTATGCACCTTATTGATAGCTACTTTGGGGGCCCGAGGGCAGAGCACCCTCGGCAGTCTTGGTCTCAAAATAATTTTTAGGCTTACTTTTTGAATTTTTACCACCGTTTGGATTTTCGTTCTTTTTTAAGTTGTTGTTTTCAGATATATATTACTATTTAAAATTATATTATTATTATATATTACTATTATATTAAATGATAGTAAATAAGTATACATTTTCAACTTCGGGAGTTATAACCTTACAGGGTGAGCTCGAATAAAACAAATTTATACAAACTTGTGAGGTTATTTTTGCACGGCCTACCCAAATTCGAGATATTGAAAGATCATTCATTTGATTCTTTTGTCACACAGATTTTTGATATGTTTTTTAATTTAGACATTATAGACGAATAACTTTAAATTTCTCCCAAGGAAATGGCTAACATTCGCGAAAATCTCAAATTACTGTCTTCAATGAATAATCGATATTATATAGATATAACATCGAAAATGGGGGTTATCTCGAAAACTACGTGATGCAGAAAAAGGACGATTAGTGGTTATGTCATTCTCAAAAAAAGGCAATTTTGACTAACCCTTATACTTTAATTCCTAACTATCGAATCGAAAAGCGATAAACAATTTTCAAAGTACAGATGTATTTTTTTCACAAAACATACTTTGTAATACGATTACAATCAAATTAACTTTCCAGCGATATACCGTGATATGTTTTTTCAACAACTGGAAAACAATTTTCAAAAATACTGAAATAGTTCTAGAAATTGAATTGATTTTTAAACTGTTTGTGACTTGAAAACTACAAAAATTATTAATGGCATGTTTTTATCACAAAAATATATTATTTTAATAAAATGATTTCATAATTTTTTTTAATATATCTTAAACAGATAATAATGACATTTTTTAATTTAAATTTTCAGGTAACATATACCCAATTATACAGGTATGAAAGGGACGGCAGGATTTAAAATCAATACGGATCGATAAATATCATTTGATCTATTGCCGAATATTTCCAGTATTATTTCAAATTAATGGCAAGGTACCTGGAGCCCTTTGACGAATGATCGATTAGGCTAATCACTTTTACAGATATAAATATATCTCATTTAATAAAATTGTGTTATTAAATGAACAGATATACCTATATGTCGATTCAACCTACTAATAAATTGATTTATTAGTTACGGCCTATTTTACTTGGAAAAATTCATTAAAAAGGTTAGATTATAAAAATATTTCAATTTCCTTAAATATTTTTCTTTAATCTTACTTAAATGAGTACAAAGAAAGTAAATAATTAAATTTAATGAATCTTAAACGTATAATGTTTCCAATATCCTAAAAATTAAAAAATCAAATTTAATTTAAAAAATTCAAAATAATTTTTGACTAACATTTCCATGTGACAGAAGTGGTTACAGAATATTCGTCATACTTCTTTAGACATTGCAAATCACTTCCGCAGGATCCTTAACAAGTTGAAACTTCAATGACTGTATAACTACCTAGCACTTAGGGACTTCTTTGGAATGTAAAGTTTCTTTTGTAATATTCATGAGAACAGTCCCGTACATACATACAGGATTTATTCTATCAAAATTACAAATTTTTACAAAAATCAATTAACTGTTTACTGTTTTCTGTATACGTGCAACATATTTCACCTAATCGGTATGCTCTATTTTATTACTATTTCTATTTCCAGTTACATTTATTCACATTTGTTTTTCTCACTTACAATGGAAGCCTCAAAGTAAATATATCTATTATTAATTTATTACACACACACTGAACATACAAATTAGATTATATAATAAAAATACCCAGTACGGCAGCTGTAAACATATATATCGTATATGCTTTTAACTTTGAATAATTAGTTAATTTGATAAACATAACTTAAACAAGACATTTTTATTTTTAAATATTCTTATATGTACTACATAGTACATACGAACGCCTAAAACGTACCGAAATGCTAAAAAAATATATCTTTGAACCGCTTATAAATTGGGATATGCTGTATGTAATGAGCATCTTTTTTATTTGCATTTTAATTCATAATCTGCAAATTAAAAAATTACAATATATATAATACATATATATTATATATAATATTTATCACAAACCGCAGGCGTGAAGGGAAGTGGTTATCTAGGCCTTAACCCGGTCTTGAATCCATATCACTGCTCCAATTTTAACGGCAGAAATAAAGAAATAATATAAACAATACATCTGCAAAATACGCATGAGATTTGTTTATACAAATATTCAGCTGGACTTGGCTCAACATATTTCGTCGCGACTTCCAATATGAAATTAACCAAGTAAGGAGCATTATGAGACATAACCCAGTTTTAAAGATCATTCAACAGTTTAATGAGATTTCAATCCACCAATTTAGGATCAACAAAATAACATATGTAATAATAATTTCAAGTTGTAGTTAGGTTGGTCACTATTATAATAAAATTGAATATAAATTATACTCACACATCAAAATAATGAGAAAAGAATGAATAATTACAAAAAAAGCTTATACAGGGTGTTAAATATAGAAGTAAAAAAAACTTTTTTTATGTACAACCCTAAAATGCGTGATTTGATTCATAGAAAAGAACATACGTCCTCAAAACGGGCAATTTGCAAAAACATTTGACTTTTCTCGCGCACTTAATGTTTTAATAATAATAAAAAAAAAGTTAGGCCACGTCAAGCGTTGTATAAAAGTCGTAGCAGGTTTAAGATTTACAGATTTAAGGGTGTTCTCAAAATTGCACCTTTTTGGGGTCAATTTAATAAAGAATAATAGAACTTCATTTGTTTTCTGCTTATTATTTATATAAACTTATACACGCTATATGGAAAACATTACATTAAAATTACTGAATATATTTTGAAGACATTTAAGATATTATTTTTTTTAAGTAACAATTGCTTAATCCTATTCCAGAAGATTTAATTTATTTTCACTATTATTATTATTATTATTATTATTATTATTATTATTATTACCATTTTTTACACTTTTTTACAGACAAACAAGTTTTTAGAATTGTATTTTGATTGTACCTACATTTAAAACTATGTATTTTGAAAATAAGAATTTCAGGGACAGTTAATTGCTCACACAATTTTTTTCTTATTTTGACAAGTGTGCCACCCGCCGAGAGATTCCGCGACACCAGCATTATACTTATATTCTGTGTTAATTTAAAGATGAAATCAAAAATATATTTAAAAAATCCATACAGCGAACTGTAGATATTTTGTACATCACCGATAAGCAAAAAAATGCTTGTAGGTATTACAAAAATTTATGATTTGCCACATTTTCTTTAAAAAAAAAAACGAGATAAACGATAAAAACGATAAACGTGATTATAAATGTGAGAAATTTTAAAAATTTGCATCCCCTGGCGGTAATTACTTTGAAAAGCAATTTCTTAAGAAAAACAAGTATATTGCAGTTTACCCTGTAAACTTCTCACTTTCCCTTCCAAATACCCGATCATCCAATCTGAAAGCCGGTTCTCATTTTGGCGCCCTTGTCAATGCTCTACATCATCCCCTAGTGCCATGCAAGGGTGTTCCCCCACCATTTCTAACTGTAGTGTGGGCCCAGACGGGTTTGTACTAAAGACGGTTCCGTTGCTTTCAAAATTCAGTAAGCGTTTAGTCGTGCAAGGGGTAACGTCGCTCTTATCTCTGTGTGTGTGTGTGTGTTGTGTTTTTGAACTCATTTGTTTATAACTTTTGGATTATTCGTACAATTCGCAAAATGTGGGACTCTGACAGCAAGGAACCCTGCAACATTTGCGAATATTCAAGGTGAGAATAGTTCATTTCATTACCCCGGTATCTAATTAATTTTTCACGCATCCTGTTAGGACCTATCTCTGCAGGTGGTGGTTATTTATATTTTGCTCATTAGAACAATATAGCTTAGTTTAAGTTCGAAATTATATCATCAACTCGGCCTTGTTTAACGCTTCACCTTTGTTTATACCGCAAAAAAACTCGGTTCACAAGACAAGAAAGAATCTACAAGAAAGTAAAAGTTGAAAACAAGAGTTTTAATCGGGTGTCTAGGTATTTAATGTCCTATATAATAGTTATTATTTCTTTCATGGTTTAATATTAATGTTTAGAGAATAATTTAATAAGTAAATACTTAATTTTCACTAAAGTCGTATTATACATTTGGCGCGAAATAGTCGGCGATTATCATAATTATTTACTTGTTTATACTTTCAAATGTGTGGCGGATGACAAAGAATACACACTGGGACATCCAAAAACACGAAAGGAATATACTTAAGCAGTTACAATAAACGTTAGAGAGGTATTTTTAAATGTTACTTTGAAAGTGGTAACAACGATTTAATTTTGACAGTGATGTTAGCTTCTTAAAAATACTGTTGTTACTAATGTTAGTACCTGATTAAACCAAAATTGTTTACTTATCATTAAAAAAACCTAACCAAAATTTAACGAAAATAAAAAATATAAGATATTCATTTAAAAAAAAAGCTGTTTACATTGCGTGTATAATAAGCTTTCATTTGGTATGACAATTAGAACTAATAAAATAAATACCTACTTAGTAGGTATGTATTTGTAGTAGTAGGTTTCGATTTTTCAAAATAATGTCGGGCGTGATATTTTTATATTCATTTTCTCGTCCAGATTAAAACAGTGCAGAAATATGCTAAGCCCGATTTTCTTTCCAGAGCTAAGAAAATGGTACATTTTGACGGCATGCAAGAGGACCTCTATTTGGACAAAGAAAATATGCAATCTTTCAGTTCGATAAAAACCGACGAATTGTCAATGTATGAAAACAACAGCCCTCTTGTTTTCACAGAGAACTCTCCTTCACATTGCTCACATGTAAACCGTCGTCCTCTGGAAGACCACGACTCAAATTCGCAAGACTCAGGTTATGGAGCTAGTTACACGGGAGACAATGGCAAATTTTTGTCTTATGCATCACCTACTACCACCAACTCCTTTGGAGCGAACTCCATGTATTCCATGGAAGACGAATATTTGGACTTTTCTGATGTCGAACCGCTAGAAAAGCCTAACAACTTGCCAGAGGATTTCAACAAACTCATAAATGACCCTTTGGCACACAGTAGAGTTAAACCTCAAGAAAGAACATCACCGAAAGATACAATCATCAGACCGCTGTTTCGTAGAGCTCTTTCCCTGCAGTGTACTAACACCAAAATTACTCCAGTCAGTAGCAGAGTACGTACAAGTTTGTTTAAAAGTGGCGAATCAGAAATTCGGTCCAGTAAAAGATCAGAACCACCTACAGAATTAGAAATTAGCACAGGCATCAAGCGCTCGAGGATCTTCGATGAGGATGAAGCGGATGAAGAAGAAGCCTCAGTTCCAGAAGCACATCCTCCTTTACAACGTGCTTTTTCGGCCACAGAAGAAAGCATAATGTGTGCGTTACAAAGATCCTCTACAGAACCAGACCTGATCGGGGATTTTACTAAAATTTTTTCCTTGCCACTAACCCAGAGTCGTCACCAAGACTTGAAGGCTATTACACCGAGTACATTAGCCCAGCTAATGAGAGGACAATACCTAGAAACTATAGCTTCCTTCAAGGTGATCGATTGTCGTTATCCCTACGAGTTTAATGGAGGACATATTGATGGTGCTATCAACATCTACACCAAGGAACAATGTATAGAGCTGCTTGATGCTAAACACGTGCCGTACGTCAGTTCCCTGAAGAGGCACATTTTGGTGTTCCATTGCGAGTTCTCTAGTGAACGTGGCCCTAATTTGTAAGTATTCACAATTACTACATAACAAAAATAATAACTGATAACGCTACTTTACTGTAATGTTTAGTTTTAGATTATTAATTAGGATTTTTGTTCCCAGATATCGTTACCTTCGCAAAGAAGATCGTCAGAAGAATGAAAATGCTTATCCAAATTTGTTTTACCCGGAGATCTATCTTTTGGAAGGTGGATACAAAAATTTCTTCGAGCAGTACTCTGAAATGTGCATTCCGATTGCTTATAAAGAGATGTTGCATCCTGATCACGAAGATGATCTGAGACATTTCAGACAAAAGTCGAGGACATGGAACAGTGATTCTCGTCATCGTCCCCACAGTGGAAGGAATTGGAAGAGGTTGGGACTAAACTAAGCCTTTTTGAGCCATCCTAACCTACATAGTACAAATGCTTTGTCAGATGTGTGAACGGGTGTGTGCATGCTAACGATAAGTCAATTTATTGTACCTACTATATATTGCATCACATTGGTGCGATTACACGGATTGTTTAAGACTTAGTCTTTTGTAAATAATTGTATATAAGAGTACCTTATTGCTTATCGCTCGTCATTCAATGAGAGAGCTATTTTTTTGCAATGCTACCACCAAAGTTTTCACATATAATTTTAAATAGTTGACTTTAATGACTGTCTTGTGGTCACCTCATTTTTTTTTCTTTATGTGCAATTAATTTCGCAATAAAAATGTGATGCGCCTCGTATCAGTCCATTTTTATGTGCTGATTGTAGTCTGCAAGTATATTTATTTCATTTATTTTAGGAATGTTTAGTTTAATATTTTTTGTACTTGGCATATTTTGATGTGTTCTAATTTATAACTCAAGGAATATACATTTAATTTGTTATGTGATTTATCCCTATTTTACAGACTGATAAATTCCTTGTATTTTAAATTCTTAATTAAGTTTATGGTGATATACGTAATAAACTGTATATAAAATATGTTTAACTTATGAATAAATTTTGTTCTTTTATACTGAATTTATTAGTTTTTTTTACATTAACTATCAAAATAACTACAAATATTCAATAGAACCTATAAAATGATCATAAACTTAAGGCATTATCAGCTTTACTGATCAGATTGTTAACGCAATAATAAAAACTGAGGAATGTTACATTGAACAGATGCTTCATGCACAACTTTATACATATACAAGTTCTAGACTACCTCATAAATACTTAGAGCAGAACGATAAAAAAACGTATGTAGCAAGAGGTATCGGAATCTGCTTCTTGATTATCTCGACACTCATTTTTTTCTCACTGATTTGTGAATGTAATAATATCCTTATCTGTTATCATCGAACCAAATTTGCAAATGTTATTTGTTTTTCAAAATTTTCGTTTTTCTTAGAGTTACAGCACTTGAAGTTTGAAAAATATAATATCGGATATCTAATTAAAATAGTTATAACTACAAAGGAGCCTGATTATTATCAAGCATAAGCCGTTTGGAGAAGATCTCAGGATATGCCACCATCATTTTATTTTTTTATTTTGCTTCATTCCACACTTTCCATCAGAAAAGTCCGCTATGTAGATTTAGAAGTTGCCGTAAACTGTTACAGTATGAATATTCTAATTTTCACCATCCATCATTTGGAAAACTCACCAGAAAACCATCGATGAATACAGTTGTTTGCTCACAAAAAAAAGTTCAACCCACGATCAGTGAATCTAATATGAGTGCAAACAATTTGGACAACACATTTCACCCAAAACATTTGAAAAATCTCATGAAATAACTAATATTTTATGTTTAAATAGGCATTATTAATAGTGCGCAGACGGGGGGAGCGGAAAGAATGTGCCCCCCCCCAAGCTTTCTACTCGTCGCTGAAAATATATTACCAGTTCAACACGAAAAATCCAATTTTTTTTGGTTATTATAGAGGCCATGTTTTTTTATTTATTATTTATGTACACATCCATCATGCATCATACTGGCCAATAGACATACAAAGTATATCTACCTGTGTTTACACCTGATTCTCTAACATAAAATGGGTCTGTTTAGAAGTTTGGGTATTGTAAAAGTGGGTGAGGAATAATAATAAAACGACAGGTAGAGGTAGACGGTCATTCCATTGCTAACATTCAGATTATTCAAAATATACCAATTATTCTTTGGAAATTTACATCTCATCGGCTTTTGTTTTTTTTTTTTTGGTAATTAATAAAATTTTTATAAATCAGTTAACCAAATATGGAGTTGTTTTATTTAATGATTCAGTATCATATATTTGGTGCTGCAACTATTTAGATCGACGTTCAAAAATTATGTTTATATTTTATGCACAGTACTAGATTTACTGATGCTATTCTATTTTTGAATAAGCAGTTGATTCGATGTCAGCTCTGTTTTTAAATGATTTGCAACTTTCAAAATGCGTGGCTGCCATTGACTGTGGCAGTATTGATTAATCATCACTGGTGACATCTAGTAGTGAAAGTTCAAATCTTCTTTTAAATACCATAAGAGTAGTGAAGAACACTATCGTTGTCAGAAATTTAGGAAAGTTTTAGAAATTTGGTAGTTATCTGTAATAAATTTCATTTTGTGGTCGATTACAATTTCAGATGTACGGATACGGATAGTCGTGATAGTCGTGTCTTGAAGAAGAAGACGATAAGAAACGTCAGCTCTTTTAAGAAAGAAAACAGTTAAAAAATATCACATCACAAATAGTATCTAGTCCATGATTAAGTAGTGTTTATTAGTGCTATATCTTTGTTTTATTTAAATATTTTACATGTAACTGTTTATCAAGTATACTAAGTATCAACTAACATCAAAGTGATTCATAAGTTATGTTTAAATAATCTCCTGTTTTCTCCAGGACATTCCATCACGAATTGGAATTTTAATTATTACTGATAATATTCAAGTCTATTAATAATGTGGATGCCTACTCATGTTCAGGTTACAGGTAAATAGATACAAATACTTTAAAACTTAATATTAAATGTTAAAAATCCATTTGTATTTTACATATTGTTTATTTTTAGTTCAAAAAGCTGATGGATTATTGCTCAAGGGTAAAAACAGTACCAATGATTGTTTTGTCACAATTGCCTTGGGTAAAATAAAATACCAAACATCAGTCAAAGAAAAATCTGGACCACAAGTGGATTGGCATGAAGAATGTGAACTGTAAGTAAAAGGATATAATAATTTTTAAACCATATAATTTTTTATTTTTAGTCCAATACCAGACCAAGGCAATACAGCTGAAATTATTCTGACTGCTCTACATCATAATTTTCTTGGTGTGGATGAATTTTTAGGACGTGTGGCGATACCATTAAATAGTTTAGACATATACGAGAGACCAAAGAATAAATGGTACCCATTAAAAAGCAAACCAGGTAAGAAAACCATGATTTTAGGTTCTGACTAATTGGAAAATCTTTTTAATCGTGAGAACATTTTTTATTGTTATTAATTAGTTTCTTTAATCATAAATGACAATGCAGTATTGTATTCAGTTTTAAACATTTTGCCGCTACATATTTTCTACATTACAAGATTGATATTTATGTTAATAAACAGATCATCTTAAGACGTTTAAACATCCAGCAAATAACAGATAATACAGAGTAATAAACACGTTCAGTATAATTTATTTTTGCAATTTACAGTGTGACAAATTGAGTAGGATGGTAGAAATAAACTCAGTTACTATGTATTAATCTCTCTTTTGAGTGTGATTATCTTTCTAGAGATATTGAAAATTGAATTACACTTGCAAAAAAATGTACTACATCAATCCTTAATAATAGAGGACATTTTTTTTCAATGGATGAATCTGAGCAAAAACAAATAAATGTATGGTATTCTCTACTGCATATACATTAAAAGAGGGAATCTGTTTCTTCATTTTTTGCTGTGGTATTAAGATAAATTAAATTTTGTTAAAATTAAATTGTTAAATTTTTTACTAATATATTTACTTGTGACAACATTAATATTTGGAATTAAGTGCCTACCTCTAATGGTAAAGGAGATTTGGCTATTAAAACGTAATACAAGCATATCATGCTGGAAAAAGGTTTGAGAAAGATTAGTTGGTTGTTAAATTACTAAGTCTTTGTGTAACACATTACGTTTAAATTTGTGCGAATGATGTTATCTTTGCTGGGAAAGATGGACCATCAAATATAATATTAGCTAATAATAATGAAGTTATATTGTGCATTTAATTTGAAACAAGATACATAATAGTATTTATTATCTCAGATAAAATTTGTTTATCACTATAAGGTAACTAATTGAAGGAATAATTTTTTTGTGTTAAGCTGGATTACCTTAAATGAATCATTTAATATTTGCATGTATTTATTTAAAATTAATACTATGTGTATAAGAAATACTTGATTAGAATATTAAATTTAATAAAAATTTTTCTGACATATTTAATTAAAGGTGTAGCAGATGTAATTATTTTAATTGATTTATGTTATTAAATTGTAATCTACCATGGGTTACTTATTGTTTATTATGACAGTTTTAAAAAACATTGAACTTTATGAAGGAAATAACCTTGGTTGTATTTCTTTAAAGATTCTACATTGGAATTGAAATCTAATATTTCATATACAGTATGACCAATAAAGTTTATGTCACAAGGAAGATTTTTTAATAAACGTAAATTTTGATTTTAGTGAAATTTTTACTTAAAAGTATTAACGGAAAATGTATTTTTATTAGTCACATTCTAAATAAAAGATTTATTAGAGAAATAAGAATATTAAATTAAATTGGAAAATAAATAAATTTTCTTTTTGATTATTATTTGTAATTTTCAGTAATAAAATAAGTGTTGACAAAATAAAGTCAATTTTAAAGTAAAGAAAATCACATGATTGGTTTTGTACGCATCGTTTCACCATATTTTTTAAGCAATTGATAGAATAAAAATTTACTTAAACTGATTAAAAAAAGTTATTTTCATATTATTTCTGAATTTGGTGACATTGGCTGTGTTCAGCAAATGGTCGGACCGATCAGTCGTTCAGTGGACAAATATTTTGTTGGTCAGTCCAATCAGCTGATTGGGAATATTGGCCAGATTTTAATACAGTTACTAAAGGCCGTTCAGCAAATTGTTTGACTAAAGAAGTTTGACCGAATTAGTCTGACCATTCGCTGAACACGGCCTTTGTAACAGCCTTGTTATGCTGGAGTAAAATAAAAAGTAAAATTAAATATAACGCAGGAAAAGAGGGAAAAAACAAGGAACGAGGCAAATTGGAAGTTAAAATACAATTTACTGTACGGGCTGGAAGTTTAACAAACTTAAGCAAAAAAGAAAAGCATAAGTCTTCTATTGGTCATGTTGCTCAATCAGTGGGTGGCAGTTTGATGAGCCTCGGTAGTGCTGAGCGTCGCAAAGGAATAAAAAAGTTTGCCAAATCCATTGGGTCCAAGATGAATCTAAAGGGAAAGAAAAAAGGGGGACATTCTGAAGATGATGCTTCCTCAATAGGAAGCGTAGGGAGCTTAAAGATCAGAAGCAATAATTTAGGGAAATTTAGAAGTCGACAAACTTTAGAGGATGCTGATCCAGGCGTTGTCAGTGAAGACGAAGATGAGTTTACGGTATGTTATGCGGTCTCGCTTTTAAAATTAACATGTATTCTCAGACTGAATCTATGTCTCGTTGTCCAAAATAATTTGCTACGATTAAAATTAAATATATTAAATAGAGTAAATTGGTTTTAGTTTGATGACCTTTCTCATAAAAGTTCTGCGAGTTCTTTAAGCCAATCAGCGAATAATAGAACAGTTTCTCCTGTTGTAAAAACAAGTGAAAATCCTTCACCTACAGAAAATATCAAACGTAATAATTTGACTGGCGGAATAGCACCTGTTAAACCACCAAGATCGGACCAGAAACCGCAAGACGAATGGGAATCAAAACTCTTAGGAAACAAATCAAAAAGTATGTTGCAGATTACAGATTATGTCTGATTATAGGTTATTATTATTATTATTATTATTTTGTTAAGGTACTTTACGACCTGGTAGTAGTGAATCTTTGAATAGAAGGTCATGGGATTCATCAAAATTAGCCTCCCAAATAGAGGAGGAACCAAGTGAATTTTTAGATGTCCCGATTAGTAAACAAGATACTCTTAGTCTTAAAGCAAATTTGCCACCTGCCTCTCCCAAAAAAGAGGAAAAAGAAGGAATGTTTTCTAAATTCAAACACTTTAGAAAAGGTAGGTTGCAAGTAATAATCTTTTTTTTCCTATAGTACACTATCTTTTGTTATGAAAGAAGTAGATGCATGTAGATTGCTTTTTTTAGAGAAAACTGAATTTACCCCAGAACATGATAAGCCACTTGGTAACTCAACTGAACGTATTATTATAGGCGGAGAAAATGAATCACGTGCACCAATACAGAACAATCGTATATCCAATGAACTGTTGCAGAAATTCGAAGGAAAGACAAGAGAGGTAAGGCAAATATAACAATAATACAACTCACCTCACCCGTACAGGGTGTCCTAATATTCCGTGTACATAGAACTACCACAAATTCTTGAGGTCAAAATAAAACTATTTAACTAACCTTTATCCAAAGTGGCAACATTTAGCCGCTAGAGGGTATTGCACTCATTTCAGATTATAAAAAGTTCTAACATACGTAATTGCATTTAAATTAGACAAAGCATTTTAGAGTTGTTTCGAAAAAAAGACAAATTTTATATACTTTTGATTTCAAGAATATGTGATAGTTCCATGTACATGTAATAATGGAACACCCTGTATAACATAGTTTTATTTATTGTTAGCATGATTCCATATACTTTAACTATGATTTTAGGATTTAATATTGGCTTTGTGTGAAACTCAAAACGATTTAGAAAAGCAGAAGAAGAAATTGAAGGATTTGGAAGATTATTTGGACGATCTGTTGCTAAGAGTGATGGAAACTACACCTAGAATCTTACAAAATCCATACGTAACTTGCAAAATGTCACACAAGTCATTAAAGTAAGTTGTGTTTAACCTTACAAATTGAATTTCAGTGTCAATAAACGTAAATATTTTTAGGGGTTAATCTCTATCAAAGTGATCGTCGTCTTCTCATAATTTGGGTGCAGAAAGCCATCGAATACAAGTTTTATTATTGTTTTTGATTGTTTACTAACATTGGCTTTTGCTATTTTTTTTTTTTGACAATTTAATCAAAGATAAGTATTTTTTAATAGATAATTTGTTCAGACAGATAACGAAAGAAGTGGTCACATTAATTTAAAATCAATTCTGTATACAGTTATTTATTTTTAACCTTTAAGTATTTGTAAATTGTAAATTCTATGTATGTTTGCGAACTTAAAATGCTTGACCTAAGGAAAATGTTAAATTGCAATAATATTTTTATCAAAAACCATTCGAAGCCCTCAAATAATTGACTTAAAATGTGATAAAATATCTGTGATATGTAAAAGATTTTATCAACACATATTAATATTTAGCGTCACATTAAATATAGAGAGGATTTAAATGATAATCAAGCAGTAGTTGTAAACTCATTACATCAATTCAGAATAGATCCTATTAGCTGTGACATTACAAAAACGCAGAGGGATTTAATGAAATTTACTTAGAAGTCTTGTATAACCCTTATGCGAGTCACAAATCAAAGATACATGAAACATAAGCATACCACTAGCCACACGAGGTTTAATTACGAGCAATAAATTTAGAGGTGATCCTACTCAAAAATAATGTTACAAGTTCCTATAAGAAAGCGTATTTTTTTTTCAGTGGAGCATTTTTTTTATATTTGGTACACTTAACAAACTGCACCTACAAAAAAATATATTAAAATTATAAAGCCTTAGGAAAGTTGATCATAACTTTTTTATTTACAGTTTTTCAAAAAATTAAACTGTAGTATCAAAGATTGTTAAAAAATTTCCAGATAAATACTCCCGTTTTAATTTGAGATAACCATTTTCAAGAAATAACCCATTTGATATTATAGGATGGCCTTAAAAACATTTAAATAATAAAAAACCTAAAAGAAATTTATGTTGTACATAAATATTAACATTAAAAGTAGATGGGGAGATGGTAGCATATTGTCCTGTCTAACAAATTTTTCAAGCTACCTGAAAAAATTTAATTTGCTATAATTAATACAATAATTCATTAAGCGAAAATCGTTACAAATACAAAAAATTTACAAGAAATCGTCAATCAGAAACATTTAATTCCCATAATGTACGAGGCAGTAAAATTTTTTCATTACGCAAAATAAACTGTGCATGGTTAACACTTAAGTATCAAAGTCCCCATGTTTTCTAGTGATTTTTACTTATGTCAAATATTTTTCAGAAACTTCTATCATTGTTGTGGGAAAAATACATGAGTTATTGCCATATCATTGGAATTACATAACTCATTAATATTTGATTTACAAAAAATCAGAAGGACTACTACAAATGTAAAAAACTATACGTTATAATTTCACTTCTCATACTTAAATTTAGCAAAATGTCTTCATTAACACCGGCCATAACTTTACAAATCAAATTAAAAATTTCCAGTGAAGTTTTTGTAACTTTATGCATTAATTTTTTTTATAGGAATTTTTTAGTTGATGCTTGGGAAAGCAGAAATACATCACACTAGAGCGGTCTATTGGAAGAAGAAAAAAGTAATTTTACAATTTTCAGTTTTGACACCATTGAGTTTATAGAATATACACTAACCTTTTTATGTATTTATTATAAAATTTGACATTTTCCAAAACAAGTGCGAATGGTATTATGAAATATTATTTTTAGATACTCAAATTATTAAAATATTTAAAATGAATTATTTATAGTCGAGTCTTTTTTCAAGTACCTTTAAAGATATATTATTTGTGAAAATCTTATTAATAATCTTCAACATGTATTAGGTATTCTAGTCAAAGTTTTGTTTTTTTTTTTTTTCAGTGTGCTTGGCTTTTTGTACCAAAATACAAACATTTTTTATTAAACTAAAGAACTGACTGACTAGCCAACTGGTTTTAAAATTTGTGTTGAAATTTTTTAATAATCATTAGATCTGTTTTTTCTTAAGACAATCTCTTTATGTTGCATTTTATTTTGGCCAAAATATTTTCAGAATAAGTTGTAATTATGTCAAAGTAAAATTTATCATATTTGGGATTTGGTGCTAAATATATTCCATCGGTTGTTTACCGTCAAACTCATTGTATACTTTTTATATAGCTAACTCGTTACATCATAGTAATTTTTTTAAGTAAATTTTCTATCACATCTGAGGTTGTAGTAATTATTGTACAAAATAGAGTTGTTTATATGTGTAGATTGTTGATTTACTCATATGTGTAAAGCTATATAAAAGAGTAAAAATTATATATTTAATATTTTTTATATATATCGTATTAGTTGAATTTTATTATTAACACTATTAACAACTAGATTGTAGAACTCCAAATATTTCAAATTGTACAGATTTAACATATACAGGGTCGGAAAGTCCCCATGGTTCATCGGCCGTTACGTGAGAGCGATAAAGTAAGTCATAGAAATCCGTGTGATAGATGACTATAATGAAGGCGTCTAATAGTCACCGCCCATTTCAACCCTTCCACAAATAAGAAGTGGATCTTATTTGTGGAATGGCGAAATGGGCGGTGACTATTAGACGCCTTAATTATATCCATCTTTCTCTATCGCACGGATTTCTATGACTTTCTTTATCGCTCTCACGTAACGGCCGATGGGGACTTTCCGACCCTGTATATATATTTTCTCAGAAATATACTTTTATTTGTGTACATGGCCACCAATAATTCTTTCAAATTGTATTATGATAAACAAAATTATAAAATGTTTTACAGAAGCAAATTATGAATTGAAAAGAGATTTTAGATTCTATTTATTCATATATGTAAGTAATACTGTAAAACAAAAAAGTATGTTATCATTACGTACATTTTCTTACACTACATTAAAGGTACTGTTTTAATTTCTGATTTCAGGGAGGAAAGTGACTTTTAGTCCTAATTTTTTAATCCCTCTGACAAAAATATAAAGACATTTACTAATGTTCTGATTTTTCCAATGCCCATGCCCTTATGAGTTAGAAATTTATAAAGTATTTAGATTTATTTTGTAATATATTATGATGATGCATATTTTAATTATGTAAAATTGTTTATATTTTACGTTTATATATCGAATATAAAAAAGAATTATGTGGTGGCCTGAAGATTTGTAGTTTGAGTTTTTGAGTTAGTGTGATTTGAAATGATTTATGATCAGGGTTATGACATGTGGGTGTTCAGGTTCAATGTATAACCTTTTTAATAGGGATATATTTCTACGAATTTGTATGCCTTTGCCTGGATTCTATTAACAAAATTTGTCTGTTGGAAACATGGATTTTCTCTCTTTTGCTATAAAATGTACAACAGTGTTTACTCAATATTACATAATCTCTTTACTTTAATCTTAAGCTGTTACTAATTTTAATACTTACACCCATTATTATCAGTGTTTTCTAGTGTAAATATTGATAACAAATGTTACTATTTATTCATATATTTTTCACTGTTATGGTATTAAGGAGAATTAATTTTTTACACAGAAATATTTAATTAAAGTCACTTTTGTCATATTGTGTTGTTTTTATTTAAAATCCTATAAAATAATGAGTAGATAGCCAAAAAAACAAAATAAATCTGCATTGAAAATTATGCAGAGTAAAATTTATTTGTTCCTCTAATTTAACCTTCAAGAGGTTTTAAAAATATTAATACAAAATTGCATATATAGTTTAACAATATGTGTATATTGCCTAGAAAATGCAAAGTATAAAATGCAATTTTCTGTAAACAGAATTTAAAAAATCTCCCAAAAGATAGGAAAATAGGAATAGAAAAAGTAAAGTTACAAAAAAAAACGTGCAAAATTTAATCTTGGTATCACAAGGCTTCAAATGAAAAAAATACAAATTCTCATTTCATCTTTCACAGTTGCTTAAGTAAGGAATACAGTAGACATTTTCAAAATGTAAATGTTCCTTTAATTCACCAAAATGTTTTTTAAGTGAAACCTATACATAAATTTTAAACTATATTCAAATATATTTGGTTAATAGTCGGGGAATCCCATTTTCTTCGATTTCATATTTTTCAATTTTCCCACCAAACCAATGGTTACGTGACGTCAAAATCGGATGTAAAGTTAAGTACCTACAACAATGAAAAAAAAGGCTTTCTATGTTGTGATGAAAATTGTTTAGCGGACACTGTATATTTTCCAGATAAGCCGAAATGTTATTAACAGTATAGGTACATCTTTCTAACATCAGCATAACCATGCGCCGCGCCGTTTAAAAAAATGAATCGTGAATGCACTATACATACATATTACCTACTATTAACGTCCACCCACATTAGATGCTTCAGAAATGTATTTTTCCTTGAAAAATACAAACTAGGTCGACAGACTAAACATTTTACAAGGTCGCATTAAAGAATGAGCACAACCTAGTAATTTTTACTGGTATTTAATTTTCTCCGATATATATTTTTCTATAAAATTTGTATTTTCTATTATATTGAATCTGTAGGCATAAAATACGCACCTACCTACTCATCAGTTCAAGTAAGGGATTTATTAATATGCACTTAATCATGTGATACAATCAAAACAAGTTTCATAGATAATGTGTCCACCTCGATTTGTTGACTCCTAAAATTAACCAACAGTGGAATAAAAAATGTGGGAAGATAATGACATTAATAGGCTAAAAGCAGATGTTTATGTGTTATCAGTTATCGCAAGTATTTTAAAGGGGGGGCACCATATTTGAAGTTATTTTTACACCATTTTATAATAGTTTGATGCCGGCCTGGTGTTGTTGACTCATGATTTATTTAACAGACAACAGACTAATAAAATAAGATCGTGAACATATAAAAATATGTGCCTTATCTCGAATTTAATGATAGCATAGCGGCGAATACGGTCTGAAACAGGAAGTGGTTAAAATACGATTTATGTTTATCGTAAATATTTCTTAAATTGTTATTAACTATTGGCAACAAGATAGTGTAATATAAGACATAAATAAATAAAACTAGTGATCTAGGCTAGGTGTGGATTGAGATGGTAGATTTTGGATTATTAAATTTCCCTCTTAAAAGTCGAGTGGTAGCAAGCGCAAGCGTAGTAGTAGAGCGTTTGCGTGCAGATAACTGGTGTAAATATGGCGTCGCAGGAGGAAGATAACAAACTTGAGTGTATTTCAAATGTAAACAAAGAGCAAGAAAGATACTTCTTAAATGTTTATAAGGTGAAGAACTTAATTTTCGTGCTTATAGTACATTAGTTTATTTAATTTTCGCATGTTTATTGTGACGAAAGTGTGTAGTTTCATATAGCATTGGCCGCCATGTTTCATCGGTGATTTGTAAAGAAAATTGAAGATTTTGGCCATCATATGTATACCACAACAAAATCGTCCAGTGAAGTATTGGCTCCTTTGTGTAGACTGTGTTTTATTAAAGTGCCACAATTGAAATGTTATCTTCGTAGTCCCAAACGCAAAAAGATTGCTAAATAGTTTGTTTAATTACTTACTACGGTTCCGATCAAGATGAGTTTAGTTAACGAAGAACAAAATTATTTCGCACCTTTCAAAGCACGTATCTCTTATTTTGTAATATTATTTATTTCAGGGCAAAAGTGATTTCATGGAGAATTAAAACCAGTTTCATCTTGTCACGTTTTTGTCCTTTAAATTCCTTCAAATTTGCCCTTCATGATATTGTTATATTATTATATCTATGTATTTTTGCATCTGCATGCCTCCTTAGAGCTTGTTGTAATATTAATGTATATATTTTTTTTATAAAATGAATTTTAACCATTCTTACTTTTATTATATTTATGTTCAAGTGGTGGTTTTGGTTTTTTTGGTGAAATCACTTGGCCTGTGCTTATTTTCATAGATAGTGCATCATTTTATTAATGTTACATTTGCTTTACATTACAAATCATAATTCAAAGTAATTGCAAATAATTCCCATTCATTGGAATTATTTATAATTTACTCTTAGTGCCTTTTCACACATGTTAGAACCGGGTTGCCAGCAGTACCAGCATTTTATTAAAGAACAAATATTTTTGTACCTGTTAACACTATTCAACAAGCAGTACCCAATCGGTAGTGACAGCCGGCTATCCGGTTTCAGCAAGTGTGAAACGGTACTTATTGTTGATAAAAACAGAAGCAGATATCAATATAATTTCCTTGCCTATATATATTAACATTGATCAACAAATAATATAACAAAATTGAAGTAGTAATTCCTTTGAATAGTGAATTAAAGCAGACAGTAGTTCCTCTCTTAATTGGTATTATAATTTTGCTCTTCTTGTATCCACAGATATCTTGTATCATGCAATTTTTTTTGCAGAAACACGAATACATTTTAAATAACAAGAATGAGTCGTTTGAAAACAAAGTAGAGTCACTGATCGATGTGTGGCAAAGTGTGGGAGAATTGAATCTGTCCAAGTTCGATATTCGCCATGTCATTCAAATTATGGATTGGGCTAAGTTGCATGCTCTGAATATCGTACTTACGGCTGAGTGGAATGCTTACAAAGGTAAGTTTTCTATATAATTCAAATGTTTGTATCAAAATTATAATAGTGCTGGTGACGCGAAAATTGCCTCCCCTACTTTTGTCCGTTATTGTTCGAGATACAATAAAAAGTAAGAATAAAGTTGTTTCATTTCATTTGTTTCATTCATTTGCTTTCATGGGGGGCTTTCATTTTAACAAAAATAGTACCGATTAGCAACAAATGTCAGTTCAGAGTAACTCTAAGTTGCTATTAGCAGCTACTAATACAGTGCAACCTCTTTAATCCGATCACATGCTAATCCGAACGGCCAAATCAGAATGATGACAAGAAAAGACTAGATCGCTTCATGCGTACGCGCGTAGTCGGCAGTCGGTTTGTTTGCCGATAGTGAAGAACACGTTGCGTGTCGTGTTTTGTGTAACAATTTTTGGAAGTAAGAAAAATAAAAAATGTGCAAAGCGTAAAATAATACATATATGTATACAGGGCTGGAAAATCCACATGGTCCATCTGCCTTTACATGAGAGCGACAAAGTAAAGTAAAGAAATCCGTGCGATAGACAAGCATGGCTATAGTGAAGACGTTTCATAATATGAATAGTCACCGCCCGTTTCGGGTTAGAAGTGGGAGTGACTATTCAGATTATGAAACGTCTTCAATGTAATCATCCTAGTCTATCGCACGGATTTCTATGACTTACTTTATCGTTCTCACGTAATGGCCGATGTACCATGGGGACTTTCCGAACCTGTATGTAACTACATGTTTATGTTTTAACTTTTGTGTGTCTTATATAATTTATATTTATATTGTTATAATAAAATGTGTATGTACTTACATAATATACATATGTACAAATCTTTATAGTATGTTCGATAATCTGAACGATTTGATAATACGAACAATGCCTGGCAATGTGGCGTTTGGATTAAAAAGGTTGCACTGTAGTTAGTATTTTTGCCAAATTGAAAAGCCCTATGGTATGTCGTAAATTTTTTTTTACGAACAGTATCTAAGAAATACGGAGGACAATTTTTGCGTGGCCACTCTGTACTACATGCAATATATATATTGGTAATATTCATTAGCCATTTTGGCATTTGCATCTGCGCATACAGTGTAGGAAAGTACCGATGGTCTATCAGAAGTTACGTGAGAGCGATGAAGTAAGCCATAGAAATCCATGTGATAGACAAGGATGGCTATAATGAAGGCATCTAATAGTCAACGCCCATTTCGCCCTTCCACAAATAAGAAGTGGATCTTATTTGTGGAAGGGCGAAACAGGCGGTGACTAAGAGACGCCTTCATTATAGCCATCCTTCTCTATCGCATGGATTTCTATGGCTTACTTTATCGCTCTCACGTAACTTCAGATAGACCATCGATACTTTCCTACCCTGTATATATCAGAAGGTGTAAAATTCAAATAATGAATGGTGTATTTTATATTTAAGAAATCAGTTCATGTGATAAAAGCTTTAAAATAAGGAGCAGGACATAATCCGATTTTGCACTATAAACCTAAAATATTGTCCGTTAGGCGGTGGTTTTAAGGGTGGAAATTCAAATGTAATACTTCAGGCAAATATACGTGTTAGACCTCGAATACCTGTATATTTGTTTTAAGCATTAGAATACTTATACAGGGTGTTTGTAAATAAGTGCGAAATATTTTAGGGGGTGGTTGCCGAAGTTATTTTGTGAAAAAAAGTTCATATAAACATAGGTCGAAATATGCTTCGTTTGTACGAGAATGCCACAACTTTTTCCCATTTTGATATTTTTTTAGAAATCCGCCGTCAATTCTGAATTAAATTGGTTGCTTCAATTTTTTTCGTAAGATGCATCTATTTTGAGGAAAAAAATTAAACATATTTTATTGTAGGTTTTGTTAATCTTTAATTTAAAGATGCAAGTAGAAATCTTTGGATCACCAGAAAAAATGCACATTTATCCCTCCAAAGCGTTTTTCAAATTTCGAGTCGATATCTTTAAAACTTTGAAATAATTAATAAAAATAAATAAAAAATTTAAATTTAAACTGTATCTCAGAAACGAAGCATATTTTGACCTACGTTTGTATGAACTTTTTTTCACAAAATAACTTCGGCAACTGCCCCCTAAAATATTTCGCACTTATTTACAAACACCCTGTATAAATTGGTAGATATATCTGTCATAACTAGTTGAGAGATTAAAAAGGAAAGGTGATATGTTGCTGATTTGATTAATTACAAAATACATTCACTTTGACGAATTGTTCATGATATCCTAATTTTATTGTTAATGTGATGTATTTTTTTTTATGTCATATTGTGCAACAGTAGGTGCTAGTACTATGTAATATTTGAGACAAGAAGTAATATGTTTGTACTTCTTTTCTTCTTAAATTGCTGTTTGCTAAATGTTTTTAAGATTCTTAATGATTGACTTGGACAAGAACAATGTTATGAAACGTCCTAAGTTGATCACAATATTGTAATTTGAGAATTAGTAGTGAAAAATATATTGAAACTATGCGACAAGTTATATTTTCTTGATTAATGATTGTTATTAAACTGTATGTAACATCTAAGAAATTGTGGTATGCCATGCCAAACGATTGATGCTATTTTGCTTGTATTTTTTTATAACGAACTGTATAATGAGCACTAAGTACAAAATTGGTAAGATGATTGCTGAAACATTACTCAGCTCCCTATCTAATTAATCTACTGACTGTCTGAAGCTAATTCGTAATAAAGGGAATGGAAAATTTATTTTTTATTATTTTCCACTTTTATCCATATCTGCGGAAAATAAACAGTAAAGTTTTCAATAATCAAGAAGTTCTAGAAAATATTTGTAAAAATTTAAAAAAGTGAAATGTAAGACATTACCTTATGTTTCCCATCAGAATGCAACAGTCAGAATGTCCATGTCACTGTTTTCAACTTAGTACTACAGCACAGCTCTCGGTGGACGGTTGACTTATAATCTGCAAGATATGAAATAAAACTTTTATTAATTTTTTGATAAAGGATTGATTAACAATAATAATAGTAGTAGTGCGAATAAATTTTTAACATACTATATATTATTATAGTAAAAACAAGAATTCAAATAATGCACATTTTTGAATTATCAAGTACAGTGGAATTCGATTATAACGACACCGCAAGAGACAGTGAAATTGTGTTGTACAAAACAGATGACGTAATAAACTACCAATTAATCTATACTTAAGGATGGAAATAAGTCACAATATACAGTTGGTTATGAAAAGCGAAATTGTAGTAACCGAACTCCACTGTACATTAGAAACACATACTTTGAGTACATTTACACTAGCACAGAGCCTTCACAAATGATACAAGCCACATGATCAGTAATTTTGTTTGAACAGTAATTTTATTTCCTTCATGTTGGCAATTAAATTTCGATAAAATTAAAAATTATTAAAACAATAAGGCCAAGCTTGCATTAAAACACAACATTCTGTTTCACTAGCTGTGATTGGTGTAATTTTTCATGAGATTCTATTCAGCTAAAAACCGATCGCATTATCTCGAGTTTAGATGTAATGGTTTGTTGTTGTAAACGAATCATTAATATTGGTGACACCAAAATTTAGGGAATTTTCGTTACCAGTAGCAGCCTTGTGATGTTGGTTGCCTAAGCTTAGCATTTACGCGGCTTGTAAACATTTATGAAGGCTCTATTTAGTTGCTTAATTTTGGTATATACAAATTATGTGTATTAAATTTATGCTACCAAATATGAGTAATTTTGTTAATACTTCAATATATACAACATTAATTGTTTAGAAAGTAGCTAAGTTGATATAAACATACTAAAAAAATAGTATTGGCAATGTGCGTTTAATGATTTAAAATTATGTTGGCAATTAAAGATACGTTGATAAGGTCATGACTTGCATCACTTAAATTCTTGTTTATAATAAATGTAATGTATAATTAATATTCTTCAATTTCTTGTTGATTTATCCGAAAATAAAACAAACATATCTTTTAGAATGTTGAAAAAGATAGTACTTATTTAGTTTTTAAAATAAAATATTATAGCGACTCATCAATCAAAACTTCTACAAGAAATTGAGAAAGCCCAAACTGAGCTGCTAAAACTCAACAGTGGATTTGCAACCAGATGTAAAAAGTTAGCTGATGTTGTAAAGAATCCTTGGGAGGATGGAGTTCTTATGAAGCTTATGAAAACTAAGGATGCAAAAATTGGACCAGAAGGTTCTTATTATTTATATGTAAATTTTGTATTTCATTATTTATATAATTTTATTTGTAGAGATTGAATTCTTTTGTGTGGAAACTGCATATGTCGTCTCTGTCCGCTTGAAAAAGTTGTGCGAGTCTCAATGTGAAGATTTAGCATTGAATTTAGTAACAGCATTCATGAATTGTAATAAACTCTCAAAAAATCAAAACTTCAGTCTGAATGCGACGGAGACTCAAATGTGGTTTATTTTTGATATATACATTGCTTTGCTGTATAAATTTCAGGAGAAACAAAAAATTGTTGTATTGGTAAGTCTCATGGACCTAAAATTATATATCGAATTGCTCTTAATATATTTATTTCTTGTAGTTGAAAGAATTGTCTTTTGAAGAAGGTTTGCAATTAGTGAAGCGTTTTGCCAAGAAACGAGTAAAAATATCGAAAATATGGAAGAACTGTCACCGAGTTGCTATATTAGCTACACAAATGTATATATCTCAAGCTGTAGTGAAATACTCCGAAGATCTTAGAGGAATTTTAGAAAGCTATATTGAAATGTATATATCAATGTGCAACACCGACAGTCTCCTTCACGATTTCCCTGATTCTATAAGACGTATTAGCAATCTTGCTGATGCTGCTGGACTATATGTTTTCTGTGATGTTATTCAGCGAAAAGTAATCATGTAACTATATGCTTTTCTTCTGTCTAACTTTTTTATATGTTTTTCTAGGCTATTACTCTGAAGACTTTCATTATTGAAATGTACATTAGAGCCTTAACAACCGATATGAATGATTTGGAACGTCAGAAAGATGCAGATGAAAAGGAAAAAGTGGCAGCTATAACTTCTAGATTGGCCGCAGCATTTTGTAACTTAGCCGATTTCTTAGATGAGCACGTGAAAGTAGCAAGAGAATGTGTTTTGACAGCTTTTAGCTTAGAACCAACAAAAGAACGGTTAAGAAATATAGAAGAACTAGCCAGGAGAAGTGGATTTCAAGTCTTGGATACAGGTCAAGAATGGAAATGCAAGCTCCATCCTCCAGTTTTGCCTTCGGATGATATCGCGTGGATTTGCCCTGAGTGTGGAGACTGGATGTGCAAGCCACAGTTGAATATACCCTTAAAAATTAACATGGCACTTAATGAAGCATTACAGAACTCCGTTTTAGGAATTTCTGAGGCTTTATGTGATGACCTAGTTGTATGTTTATCGAATCCAAGGTACCAGATACTAAGTTGGTTTCTCCCATGGGATGATTTACATAGGCTTTGTATTATGTATTTGCAAGATCCTCAGACAACTAAAAACTTTGTTACGGAGTTGAAGTTTGTCGATATTGACTATTCCATTTTCAAAGGTATAAAAAGGGAACCTCTGGATGAGCTAGCTGGTATCGAACGAGGTTATGAACAGTATTTGGATCAAGATTTTGTTTCTGATGCAGAATCAAGTACTGTTAGTGAAGATTCTATGTCACAGGATTCCAGACCATATAGTTTAGGTAGTGATGGAGCTGGTGAAGGCCCTTACTTGCCACTTCCCCCTCAACCTAAATCTGATCCAAATACGCTTAAAAGTCTTCGGATGTTTCGACCTAATCTTAAAAGATCAAGAAATGCGGGACCTGGTGATAACCGTCCGGAGAAATTACACAAAACAGATGGTAATGCTGTTAATACAACTCACCCCACTGCTTCGAATACCAGAGACAAAAAGATCAGCTTAAGCAATTATTTAAATGGAATCACAGGTCCACCACAAGTACCAATATCTGATGATCCAAATAATCAAATGTCTCAGTCAAAAAACGTAAAGGCTGCCACATTGCCTCCACTTGGTGGGCAAGTGGCGAAGAAAGAAACCAACCTAATCCAAGTAAAACTCCAACCTCAAGATCTATTTCGCAAGATGGAAAAAACGTACCCGACTTTCAAAAACCTAGTGGATCAGGCACTCAAACCCTACAATCAGTCAACCAATACCATATCGGAAACAACAAAACGGGATCTGATGCTCAAATTGTTAAGCAGGCACTCACTCAATGGTTCCAAAGAAAACAACAATTACAAGCACTTAAACGCAAGCAGTTTGGAGAAAGCTCTGGATCCTACAACCCAGAACGAATCCCTCGGCAGAAACTTGATGAAAACCAGCAAAGAAGTCAAAACACAGGAATCAGTCAACTCACAGACATGTCAAACTGCTCCCAGCCCCAATCACACTTTAGAGAAAATATCAAAGATCCCAGATATGGATCAGTTAAAAATCAAATTGCACAAACTGAATCATCAGCAAACCAAATGGAGTTCACAGGTCAATGTAGACCAACAGCGTCCCAATTGTACGAATGTGGCAACCAATACACCACGTCCTTTCTTAAAATGTCGGAAAAATCTGTATTATCACAACAGTCGACAAACAAATTCAAACCACAAACAGGACAAAACTCAATCCATAACAACTACCAAACGGGACAGCTTGCAAAATTACTCTCTTCAGAACTCGCAAAATGTGGATCATATCCTAAGTCCGGACAAGGAGGTAGCTCCTCATCCATCCTTAAGTCAAGCAAAACAACAAAACAAAAATCTGAACAAAACTTCAAACAACAACCACTTGCTAAACGAAGTATATCTCCAAAAGGACAAACCTCAAGTAGTTTTGGAGAAATTGCGCTTACCCAATATTCAGAATATGGACATAGACAAAACACTAGTAGTGCCTCTCACATGGAAATTGATGAGCAGTTTAGCGCCTTCCTGCATCAAGAACGACTTCGAGCCGATAAAGAAAGAAACTTGTCTGCCGCTTTGCAAAACATCATGCAACAGCTCGAACGACATAGACAGCAAGGAATCGGGTCAGAAGACGAAAAATCAAGTGAAAATATCAATACCAGTGCAGGAAGCTGTAAACAATGAAGATAGTGATAAAAGGTGCAATAATATTGGGAAAAATGTGCAAAAAGAGGATTGTGTTGAAAAGTCTGAGCTAGTTGTTTCTAAAATGATTGCTCACGAGAAGTCGACGTCCAAGAATTTTTTGGGAATAATTGATAATGGGATTTTTTCTGATTTGGCTGATAAATCTGAGGAAACGTTTTTTCAAAATAATAATGATTACTCGAGTTTAACAAAGAATATGATGAAATTTGAAGACATCCCAGAAGACGAATTACCAAAGAATATTAATTTGACTGAAAACATTAGGACTTACACGAAAAAGTCTACAAAAAGGCTACCTGTAGTAAATGAAGACTGTGTTAATCTTCCCAAGAGGAAAGATAAATTAGACTTTTGTAGAAATGTAAATATTAGTAGTAGTAATAATAGAGATAAGAAACCACATTCCAATGTACAAAAGCCCCAGACCAACTGTAAAGAATTAAAAATTGTTTTGTATCGTCTCCCCTCGAACTTGATTGAAACTGGAAAGTTTGCTGCTGAGGGAGAGTATCCAAGTGTCAAACGAAAATGTGATAGAGGAAAAACTCCTCCAAAAAATGGCAGAAGACGTAAGAGTATGGATAAGTCTGACAACAAACATGATACTGCACCAAATCGAGTACAAAATTATAATCTTTCGCCTCTTCAAGATATTAATTCAAGGGTAATTCCCAAGGAAAATTCTAAATCCTGCTGTGATGTTATAAACAAAGTAAAGTCCACTGAGGAGATCAAGCTTCCTCAAGTTCTACTCGAAAGAATCCACCTCGATAATAAGAATTATGCCAGATCTGTATTAGCAAATGTTCCCGGTCTAAATGATTACCAAATGATCAGACCCACTAATGTCAACCATATAGTTAATGTTGTCCAAGTCTCGGGAGGAAGATCATCACAGAATGTTCCGATGCAAACAACACAAACTAGTACACAAGTCAGCCCTCACATTCAGCGAATCGGCCAACCTCGTGTCGCAGATCAGAAACCAGAGCATTCTAGTTCTATACCATCTACTACTACTTTTACAACTACTACTACAACTGCTAAGACTACAACCACACAGCCTTCAACACTTATCAACATACTTTCTCAGCAAATTATTCGGCCAGTGACGGCCCAGAGCAATGCTGTGAGGAGACAAGCTCCACTTATCAATATTTTATCACAGCAAATTATAAGGCCGTCTCAAATGCAGAAAACGACAACTAATACCACCATTCCCACAACTGACAGCAACCAGGTGAGTCGGTACAAATTTAATTTCATACCTTTCCAGTCTAGAGGTCTACAGCATGAAATTGGTCATATTGTGGATCATTTAAAGATTTGTTATTTTGAATCATGTATCGCTAAAGGTGTAAGATGTATTTTATGTTGTTAAAATTTTGGGAATGATATTCATTTTATAAAATGGCTCATTTAATCATTTCATTAATGACAAAAGTTATTTGATATAAAGTCAACCACTCTGGCTGCTCTTAATTTTTTTCATATAAAAATTTTTTAATTTTAATAAAGTTTAGTAAGCTAATATTCTTATGTACAGATGATACTTTTTGATAGTGAATCGATATTCAAATATGAATAAAAATTTCACTCCATTTTGTTGAATGACGCTATTAAATTATTAATAACTATTTTGGATCTGAATTTCTGACTAACATTTTTTATACTGATCACTAAAAATCTAGTAGGTTAAAAATTAATTTAAATAAATGTGTCTCTTGAATACTTTTAATCATTTATAAACCATTTCCATCATATATTTAATGAGTAACTTTTTTTATAGGTAAAACCCATACTAACAAGTGAACAAGCTGTCAACAGTCAAGTCAATAATGTTCTTAAAAATGCCAATACTGAGCTAAAAACTGGCACCCCAGTAACGAGTGCTCAAGGTGGCACAATTGTGCAATTTATTTGCAAATCAGCCTTACCAAAGTTTCAACAAGCATTTGGAAAAACTGTTTATCAGAATAACAGTGAATCATCTACAACTACCACAAGCACCGTCGAATCGTCTACTGTAACAGTAGACAGTAAAAAGAATATAACAACAAAAACTGTACCAGTAAATGTACAACCAATTCAAGGAAGTGTTATATACAGTAGGCAAATGCCCGTGGGGCAAACTATAAGTCTAATACCTCCAGGTGGCACTACTCGTCAAGTGTTCCGTATAGCAACTTCAAACTCTGACCAGATCAGCTTGGTTAAAGACAGTGTCATTCACAGCAAAATGAGTGCATTGCTAGCAGCTGCCTTACAGGGTCGACAAAAAAGTTCTGAAGAACCAACCTCTGGCGATGAAAAAGTAACCCTCGCCCGCCCGACGCTTGTGCAAAATGCTCGAATTGTAAAACCGGTGCAGTTGCAAATACCTACGAATGTTGTACGTGCGCCTAACAGTAATTTAAGCTCTACAACTTTAGAACAGTTAAGGGAATTCGACATGGTTTACAAGCAGATAAAAGAACGTAGTAGTAGTACGACTCCAGCAGAAACAAGTAATAGCCCACCAGAGAGCCAAGAAGTTACACAGCAGCGAATCAGTGTCACTTACGTCAATCAGTTACAGAAATACACTCAGTTGTCGCCAGTTGTCGTTGTGAGCAGTTACAGCAATCTCCAACCTGCTGCTTCGCCAGCTCTTAGTGTTACTTCCCAGGGAAGTTCGAGTCCTTGCGTCACGCCAGCACCGACACCCACTTTACCTAAAATAGCTACGAAAAGTTCGAAAGGAAAGACTTTGAAGAGTACTACAACTAACAGCACGACTAAGTCATCGCCAATACCAAAACCTCAACAGAAGCCACAAGAAGACGAACATACAACCCAGAGGATTTTTGATATCTTAGCGGAGTATGCGGAGCAGTTACGTAATTCGCCAGATTTGAATAACAAACCAGCGCCAAGGCGTAGATCGAACCCTCCTACTAATCCTAGTCAAAACTCCAAACGTAAGAAATCTTCAACCAGCGCTAAGAAGTCTGGGCAGTCGAGTAGCACTATAGAAATTGACGCAGATGATATTACGGTAGGCAGCGAGGATAGCTCCGGAGGTGGCATCGTTCAACTGTCAGTGACTGATGACGAGCAGTCACAAGCAGCAACAGTTAACACGCCTGAGTCTACAGAAAATTCTAGCCCATCTAGCTCAAGACAACTTATTTTGACGGATGGTAATGCTTGCGGAAATCAATCCAGGAATCTTATCATTGCGGATTCAAGTGTTGGGGAGGCACTGAAAATGCCCAATACTGCTGTTATCGTGCCTGGCAGTTATATCATGCCTGTTTCCATGGTCAAAGGTAAGCAGACATTTTTTATATTGGTCAATATATATTCCTCAAAACAGGAAGTCATGTATTTGACAATTTATTAAAATACAAATTATATAATTTCACAAATCACTTTTTCACATTACAAAGTGTCGTGAATTAATTCAAGACGTCGTTGCGCCTTCAGAATGCGTCAGGTGCATATTTTCAGTAAAACGTGTTAAGTCGTGCACATTCGATGAACATGAAACCACATAATCTGGTAAAAAACCAGCAGTCAAATATTCTTAAATGAAAAAAGCCAAGAAACGGTTAAATAAAATTCACATATCCCAATTTAAAGGTGCAACGATGACGTAATAAAACTTATGGGGTACTTTCATGGTTCTGTAAATTTGACTTTTGTCATTATCAAGCTTTAAATAATAAATTTGCTATAATTAAAAAAGGGTGTACTATAATTTTTTATGTTACAAATTGTTCTCGTTTCTCTTCAATTTATGTTGTTTAACATTTGTAAAACTATGTAGATATGTCCATCCGTACACTCGCAAATGAAGCAATCTTTGATCATAGGTGGCCAGCAAATTGCTGTGGTGTCAGGCGGCAGTAAAATCCTGGCAACAGTTCCTGCTAGGTCTGGTCAGAATATGTTATTATTCCAAAGCTTTACAAACCAAAACCGAAAAGGTGCTATATCCGCAGTTAAATATTCCACCATTCAACCGATATCTGGAATATCATCTCAAAGTTTGGCAGGAGTTAGTGCACAGCCACCGGTAATCTTACCATCGAACTCTGTCGCAACGGCCGTAGCGCTTGGTCAACCGTTGACACTGAAGAAATTGAATGATGATAGAGATAGTAACGAGTTATTGCTGACCATTTCACATCCTAAGGCTGATAGCAAAAATCCAAATGAGTTGCAGCAACCAGATAGTAGCACTAGTGTATCTAGTGACAGCACTGATATTAAGATAGAGGAAACAGCTTTGCAGTCGGATAGTTCAAATGAGAAAATTTTCCAGACGTTTCAGAAGTCTGTTATCACTAATTCTGTCGCCACCTCCGTTATTGCCACCACTTCCACATCTGGCATTAAGGAAGATGTGAATACCTCTCAAAATATAATTAATATGACTTTGACTTCAGACAATAAAGGTAAGGAATATATATTTTTTTAATTATATGAAAGAACTCGGTTATCCTGTTTCAGCTGAATCTAAGTCGACCGAAAGAATGCAGTCTGTTCTGGTGACCGCTTGTTCCTCAAATGGACCCATGTTGTCACATACTACTCCCAGATATAGGAAACCTTCCGAAACTGTTAGAACAAATAATAACGACCTGCCAAATAAGGAGGAATTTTTACATAATGGAGAAAAGGCAAGCGATTAATTTGATTAAATATGTTATTTTACTTTTAATTATGATGCAAAAATTTTGATTTTTATATTACAGCATTTGCTAAAAAAATATCAATACTTTAAATAGCATTTATTGACTTGAAAATTGATAACCGTTTCTTTACAGACAAGCAGTAATGAACAAAAGACCTTCCGAGGCCATGTGACTTATTACACAAACAAAGCAAAGAAAATATATGCCGATTCTCAAAAAATTGACAGTGAAATGCAAAAACAAGCCGCAATGGAAAGAGAGCTGCGTTTACAGAAGTCCCTGTCGGAAGAATGTGAGGACTTGGGTGTAGATGAACCCAGCACTAGCGATTTATTTCCAGAAGCTGATTTACTGTTCGATTCGAATCACTCGCCATCGTTTGATCAATCGTCTCAAGATATTATAAAACGTACACCCCACAGCAGTGAAATAAAGGAGGAGGTGAAGGCGGCTATGAATTTATTCAGTGATGATGAGAATTCCAGTTCTCTTAGAACGGATTTATTTGAATATGTTGAATACCAAACGGTTGAGACGGAATTAGACTACCAAACATCGTCGGGATGTGAAGATAATACACTATTAGCAAAATGTGCGACGATGTCTGAAGTAACACTGAACTCGCCTATTTCACCGGAACTGTACACAGAAACAAGTTTGAACAAATATAAATTCAAGTATAGCAATAGGAAAAAAGGAGAACGAGTAAAATCCAACGATTTTGGAGGAGAAGTAGTTTCCAGCTCCGAAGATACCATCGGTAGCACGGAATTGGGAAAAATGAACTGCGACGATGACAGTTTCAAAGTGGTGCATGTGGCTATAACAAAAACAGATATAGTGAAAGAAGAGGACAAGTGCGAGCTGCACTGCGAAGAAGATCTAGATTCGTCGAGTGGAAGAGGAGCACGAAGGAGTGTTAGGAAGCTCTGCTCCTGCTGCAACGGATCACAAGATGGTAATATATCGAGGAAACGACCTCATTCTTCCAGGCCGCAAACACCGGCATCTCCGCACAAGAAGGCCTTTCTTAATAAAAAAAGATAGTGCACCATTGTACATTTTAGCAAGTTCTAATTGTTGTTTATAATTTTTTGTTGGTTGACTTAGAAAGTTGGAAAGTGGTCGCTGGTCACACTTTAGTACAAATTATTGTATTGACAGCCGGTGTTTAGTGTCTGAGAGACTTCATTACTTGTATAGTAATTGCTACGTTTGCAATCTTTTAGTACCTCTAATTGTAAATTCTCCTCGTATATGTAAAATATTTAAATTATATGTGCAGTTTGTCGTTGTATATATTTAATTTAATAGATAATTTATCACAGACAGGCTCTATTACCTGTCTAAAAAACCATATTGCTCTTGGATATTGGAATGCAATAAGTTACTCATACAGTGTGTTAACTTTTATTATGCAAATAGCAATGTAAATTTTCTACTTTTATTTAGGGTAGATATATTCAAACCACACCACATTTTACATTTCACAATTTATTTTACAGCAGTTCCAGATATTTCAATTTGCCTTATTTTTTACTTTCAGGTATATAATGTAAATGACCTAGAGGAACACCATTATCTGTTGAAGAATAATTAATTTAAATAAATCACCAAAATGAACTTAAACAAAAATTAGATATGATCGTTTGACAAGGCTTGGTTTGTAAAATAATTAATTTTAATAATCAATAAAACAAAAAAATATATAAATGCAGTGTCGGTTTGAACTGTATTACTCTTTGCTGTTACTAGTTTTTACCCTTGTGTGCGTTAGTTTCCATTTTTGTGTTTTATAAAAATTACGTTTGTTACTTTTCAAAAAAGTATAGTCGCATTCATTTTAGCTCCTGTTAATTGACTTTTGAATTACATAACATTTTATACAGAGCGTTACTCTATGGACAAGCCTTAGTTCTAACTCTGGGAAAATTTGTTGCCATGATTTGAGTGATTTTATCTGAAATACAGGGTGTATCATAATTAATAGCACAAATTAAAACAGCTGTAAGTACAATGCATATACTTGAAGCAAAAAAGCCTTAGTAAACATGGGTCTACAAACACACCGTTTTTAAAATACAGGGTGTCGATAAAATAACAATTTTTTTCAGTTTTTTGACGATACAGAACTCAAATTAACATTAGCTACTTTGGAGCATTAATTCAAATTTTATTATTGCATTACTATAGGAGAAGGTCATTTTCAACATAAACGTATGCGAGGGGTCAAATTCCGTGGCTATAATAAATTTATAAATTAAAAAAATACAACCGTTCATGTTAGAGTTTTTGACGGTGAATATCTTGTTTGTATAGAAAACATTAGCAGTTTAAAATATGGTTTCAAAATGCCAATTTTTCCCAGTCGGAAAAATTAGGGGCAAACGAACTTTGCCCAATCCTAAAATCTCCGCCACTGTCAGATGAATGTGTGAGTGTGTGTTTTGAAATGGCACTGGTTCATCACCAAATAACCAGCCTTTAATCAGATGAATAAAAATTGAATTAGTGCTCAAAAGTAGCTAATGTTAATGATAATACGTTTATAAAATTTGAGTTCTGTATCTCAAAGTTCCTGATATATTAAAAAACTGAAAGAAATTAATTTTTTTATCACTCTATATGTCGAAAACGGTGCATACTGTATTTGCGGACCTATGTTTACTAAGACATTTTTGCTTTTAGTATCGTGTACTTACAGCTGTTTCAATTTGTATTATTAATTATGATGCATCCTGTATACAGCTTTGTCTTAACCCATATTTTATAGACAGACGAATAGTAATATCAGTAAATAAGGGCGCCTTTCTTGTACACAGGGTCGGAAAGTCCCCATGGTTCATCAGCCGTTACGTGAGAGCAATAAAGAAAGTCATAAAAACCCGTGCGATAGAGAAAGATTTCTATAAAGGAGGCGTCTAATAGTCACCGTCCATTTCGCCCTTCCACAAATAAGATCCACTTCTTATTTGTGGAAGGGCGAAATGGGCGGTGACTATTAGACGCCTTCATTATAGCCATCTTTCTCTATCGCACGGATTTCTATGACTTAGTTTATCGCTCTCACGTAACGGCCGATGAACCATGGAGACTTTCCGACCCTGTATATGTAAAATTTTTAATGGATATTTTTTAATAGATACTTTTTAAAGACGATTCAATATAATTTATTCATATTTTAAATTTAGACGCAGCCAGATATATTCTCAAATCCCACATCTTGTGTAAAGATTAATTCTAGGGTTGACTTACTATTTTTCATCCTTAATATTCTAGTTTTTATACTTTTTTTTAAATACTGTAATATTAATATCTAGACCAGGGGTCGGCAAGTAATATTAGGTGGGGTCCGGTTACTTTTCAAAATTTTTAATGGAAGTCCAGAAAAAACATATTTCTTACAAATTTTTTATTTTAATTTGCACTCAAATTTCTGCTTGTTAACCATTAAGAACTCAAATCAATCGCACAATTGTATAAAAAATGATAAAGAGTGGCACACAAACATAAAAAAATATTTTTTAAATAATTTGAGTAATTTATACTTTAAAAAAAATTTTTTGGGGTCCAGTATTTTACCTTCTGCGGTCCGCCAGTTGCTGACCTCAGATTTAGACAATTATAGAAAAACTTGTTTGGCGTGGATAAATCAAGCCGATTTTGAAATGATTACGTATTAGGATTTATTTGTAGTGTACTATTTTTGTAGTATACCTATGATTAAAAAGAAAACAATTGAAAATAAAAATGCACCATCTTGTAAAACTTTAAATTTTTTTTAAATGATACCTTAACAACTAAAGTACTTGTTTTATAGAAATTGTTCAAAATAGTTCACATTTGAAAAATTATTCATTTTTAAAAGCAAATTTGTACACAAAAGTATCCTTATTTTCGGATGTGCGATGTCTGTGCTAATAATAGCTCTGATCGCGGAGTCGCTGAAACCAGTTCGGAACCAGTCAGAAGCAATCGCCCAGCCACTTCCTTTACGCTATGCTTGTGGGAAATAGCACAGAAAGCAGCCGGACTACTGCCTCTGACCGATCCCGGACCAATTTGACTGGCTCCGCAAACGAAGCTATCATCGAGAGACAATTTGAAACCACTCTTGATATTCTTTTAAAAATTTTAGAATAAAACTAACTGCAGCAATTCAATGGTTGTAGAGTATTTTAGTTTTATGTTCAAGACTGTTGTGTCATGTGACGTGTGATAAAAGATTAGTTTTTTGTTCTCTGTATAGTAATTATTTAATTCTTGGAAGTAAAGTTTGAGCAAATGTGTATATTTCTTGTAATCTATTTACAGTGAATAAGAACATACTTAGCCCTTAGGCCCATTTTTTTGTGTACATATGTATATTATGTTATGTATTGTCAAAATTCAAAATAAAAAGTTTTGATGAAACAAGCAGTTTAGTAAGACCTTTCTAATATAGCGTTCATTGTTTCTTTTTGGGTAAAAGATGCTGTTTGTTAATCAAAATATGTTGTTTATATAAAAAATAGGGCTTATTATTTATAAGAATTATAAAAGTATTACTTTACTACTAATACATTTATGAAATTGTATTACTATAGTTCGATGAATTATTAAAGAATATTTCAAGTATTGATACGATTTATTTTATCCTTTGTTAAAAAATCTGAGCTATGTATACTCATTCTTGTAGTGTATGCAGTATGCAAATTATATTTGTATAAGATAAATCTTTGTATGGTTTTTTATTACAGTATTTTTTCCAATAAATGTTCTTACAAAATATAATTTTATTTTTAATTGTACTTTGATATCGCAGGTGCCAAATTTAAATGTTTTGGCTTAGAATTTGATTTTTTAACTTTGTAACAGTTTATAAATTAACATGATAAATATTGTATAATATCACTGACAGTTACTTTTGTACTTTTTTATTTACCTGTCAGTGATATTTTTCATATTCTGTTATGTATAGAAAATTATAAATCAAATAATTCTTTTTTATATAGCGAGTGATTTTCATTGGTGCTAGGTCCCCTTCCCTTCACTAGATCACTTTTGACTAATATGAAAATTAACAGGAAAACATGTTTAATTTTTTAACCAAGTTCCATAAGAAACGTGCAATTTACTTGCGTTTTTGCCACCCGTGAAAATTTTTAACCAGTTTCTTTAGAATCAAGTTCTTTACTACATGAGAGTTTGCATATTCACCCATATTGACACAATGATTACTATAATATCCAATGTACATACTCCACAATACTGCTTTCCTGAAAAATTGCTCAAATAACGCGTCGATCAACGCCAACAATAGTAGTATACAGGGTGTGCCATTTAACACGCCCTCTGCCAATGTCTCCGAAATGAATACATTTATTTTAGATCCGGAAATTGGGATTGTTAGGTCCCTCGAATAGCTTCAAATTGTAGTTAGAACTGTTAGTTCAAATATTTCTGTATAGATGGCGCGGCGATACTAAAAAATTTTTTGTTGCCTGGAATGTAGAAATACAGCCCATCTGAAAGATCGTTAAATTTTAAGTAATTTTTGTAATATAAAGTTTTTCCCTATATTTACTTGTTTTCGAGATAAGTCGACTTCAATATGTAATGTATGATATAACAGGAAAATCTATTATTTTATCTAAATCACACCGAGACAAAATATTCTTTTAAAATATTGTTATAATGACTTCATTCGCACCACTAACTAACAAACAATAAATTATAAAAAAACAAATGATCAACTACAGAAAAAAAATTGTACAATGGTAAATCGTATAGTTAAATTGAAAGACGCAAACTGATAAAACTGTAATTATTGGAAAACTAATATGTGTCATCTGTCATTGTTTTGTTTTAAACAACCAAACATAACCTACGACTACATTTATTAATAACATTTGATAAAATATGGTTCGACTCTGCCCCTTATAAGATTTACCATTGTACAATTTTTTTTCTGTAGTTGATCATTCGTATTTTTAATAATTTATTGTTTGTTAGTATGTGATGTGAATAAAGCTATTATAACAATATTTTAAAAGAATACTTTGTCTCGATGTGATTTAAATAAAATAATAGATTTTCCTGTTCTATGATACATTGCATATTGAAGTCGGCATATCTCGAAAACAAGTAAATATAGGGAAAAACTTTATATTACAAAAATTACTCAAAATTTAACGATCTTTCAGATGGGCTGTATTTCTACATTCCAGGGAACAAAACATTTTTTAGTATCGCCACGCCACCTATACAAAAAGATTTGAACTAACAACTCTAACTACAATTTGAAGCTATTCGAGGGACCTAACTACTCCAATTTCCGAAACTAAAATAAATTTCTTCATTTCGGAGATATTGGCAGCGGGAGTGTTAAATGGCATACCCTGTATAGTTAATTATACATCTCTTCATCATAGAGTTCCATTTTGACAGCTCATCATCAACTATATACATCGAAATAGGAGAAGTTACATTTGTAACAACTTTTACACCATTCATCTTAATACAGGTATCTAAATAAGTTGATGAACTGTCCGTTTAATCGGGACAGATTTAGAATTTTCGCCATGTTCAAATAAACTAAGGGATTGACTCCAACTTCTTGCGAAGATATATAGCGACTTGAAGATGACCTGTTGACAATATTTTTTCTTAAATATCTTCTAAACCAATTTTATTTGTAACAAATGTGGTACACGTTTTTGGCTATTTATGACCCATATTTACAAGACCACAAAAGATGCTTGGACTCATTTTTCACCATGGGCGTAGCTAGAAGCTTTGTTTGATGTGGGCCCAGGGCACTATGCTCTATGGAAGCCTCTAAAAAAAAACCCTCGCAATCAGCGATTTAAAGACTTAAATTTTCATTTATTTTTTTTTATTTAAATAAAATTTCAAAAACCTGAACACGTTTTGATTTGATTATAAAAAAAAAGTCACAACTTGCCCATATAACAAAGCACCGGACTTTCTGGGGTGACCCCGTGCACACCCTGCCCCCCCTTGCTACGCCCATGCTTTTCACAGCAACGTTGATATATTTGTCGATATTTTTCCTCTGAGAATTTTTTTTTATCAAGGTACCCAAGAAAAAGTGGGTTCCATGCTATCTATTGCTAAAAACGTGTACCAAATTTGGACACTTATCAACAGGTCAACAAGTTCAAAAATTGATCTATGATGTACAAACTAAATGCGTACAGGCTGGTGGAACATGGACCTACTGATGACTGTACGTCTACATGACCCAACTCGTCGTACACACCACGTGTGTTACGTCCGAGTTTTACGTTAAAACATACATATCTACAACGTACGATGTTGATTTGGTATTAGGTCCTATTCTAAAAAGCATTAGTATGTACGTATATGAATAGTATGTTAAAAGATGGCAAAACAAAGTAAATCTAATTCGAAGTGTATACATGGGAATACGAACTTACTATTTCATATTCAAACGTGTGTGTCTTTTACTAGTGTTTTGACCATAAGCAACAAAAACTTAAAATACACAGAGCTTTAATTATAAAATATTACAAGTTGCGTAAACACCACATACACGCGGGAATAATAGTTAAAAGTAATAAACCACTTTCTTTGAATAATTTTCAAAACGACCGGCACGCAGGTTATCGAACGCGATGCACTGCAGCACGCACTACTCACAGAACTATTGATAGATGACAGATGTTGATAACCATGAACATGGAACAGAACACATTCGAAGGTGATGACAGCGCCCTCCGGGACGTCGTCTGAACTAAAAATAGAAGGCAAGAGCACACTCTAATAAGTCTAATACACTCACTCACAAGTTTTTTATTACAGCAAACAATAAATCCGTGCAACGTAGTATTTATATTGGACGCTAGAGGTAGC